TTTTTGTTGAGAACAATAATCAAGGGAATTTGAGATCTTTACTTGTTTTTTCCGAATTAATTTGCTTAAACCTCCCAAAGCTGAAGCCCTGTTGTGGAAATGCAAATTTAAAAATCCCTGGAGGAGCTTCTACACTTGCTGCACATAAGCTCTAGGGACATTTGGTGGAAAGTACCTGTTAATATGTGCTCACCGTTCGACAGAGGCAAAGGCTGAGAGTAAAGACGATGACTCAGACTCTGAGGAGAAGCCCAGAGGAGCTGATGCTGCACCGGCTGTTGCGTCGCAGCCACAGAGGGTCGCCCTGTTCCCTGGCATGGACCCTTCAGCTTTAAAGGTGAGCCAGGAACTGCGCGTTCACCTCCTGGCATTGTTTGTCATGTTGCAGTTTTATTTCACAGAGCCTTCTTATTTTAAACTCGCACTGACTTTTTAGCAAACTCTTTGTAATGCATCGCTTTTTCTGTCAGGCACAGCTGAAGAAGAGGGGGGACTCTGACAATCAAACTGATGGACCTGCTTCCTCTCCCTCCCAGCTGTCTCGCTCTCCCAAGTCCCCTTTTCTCCCCAGGGCAGCGCGTGTGCTGCCCCCCTCTGGCGGCAAAGAAAATGGGTAAGCAACATCAGCTGAACACAAAACGTTTATTTTATACTTGAGAGAATTTGTCGACTCATCGTTTATCTTATTTCGTAGCCAGGAGGATTCACCCCAGTGGTTGAAAGAGCTGAAATCCAAGAAACGCCTGAGTCAGTATGAAAGTGAGAGCTAAGTAAATAATAAGGTGAGCTAGGTTTTTGGCTCTTCTGTGTGTCTTCTTGTTTTGTAACAAATAATCAGCAGCAGTTCTCATACTTATCTCTGTCTGTCTCCTGCAGGTTGCCTTAACAGATGAATCTGTGTGAAACAGAAGCCTTAACGTTTGACCCAGAGAGTAGGAGGAGGTTGAATCTACAGCTGCTGATGATTTTTTTTGGTTTTTTAAACCCCCCCACTTTTTTCTCTCTCTCTCTCTCTTCTCATCTGGGTCGGTAAATGTGCATGGTGCCTTTTTTGGGGGGGGAGTCTCTGTCCTATGGAAAAAGAAAAACGAGCATGGAGGAAAAACATCAGGCTGGTCTGCTTACTCCATTTCATGCTTGAACCCAGGGGCTCCAAAACGAACTTCACACGAACACTTTAAAGCGGGACCAGGAGGAGTCGGGAAGGCACAGCACCTCCTTTTCCTGGACGAGCTTCATCGCATGCTGGAGGACAATCCAGCCAATCCTTTGCATCCAGTTTCCTCTTTACTCAGCTAATGTACAGGCTAGCCATGTATGTGTTATCTGTAGAGGTTGCTGATTGGAGTCACACAAACTTTGCCATAGGATGACATTTCAGACGCTAATGATTTCTGCGCGTTGAGAACAAACCTCCACGGTCTTGATCGTCCATGGAGGTGCTGCTCATGTTAGTATCTGTAATCAGGAGATGTTATATTTGTATCCTCATTGATTTAACAAAGGTGGAGAACTCGTTTTGGAAAGGATGTATCACTACAGCAGAGCTGTTCACTTTGATACAGTTACACAGCCTAACAGGGGTGCAGTTGCTGCATACTGTGTATATATTTTTTTGTGATTTATCTTTTTGTCAATGTGTAAGAGGGATGGGACAAACAGCTTTGTATCTGTCAATCATGCACACTCCTAATCAGCACAAACACACTCCTCAGTCTTTTATAAAAACTAATCAGCCCGTCTTCCCCTTCTTTAGTAGATTGTAGCTGCGAGCATCTAATTTAAGCCATACTCACCTACTTCTCCATCATGTCCTGACAATACTTTGTGCAATTTCCCTTATGTTTTTGTCACTCATTATCCATGCATGTACAATCTTTGCTGTCACATCAGGCTTGGCTCTCGCTGACTGGTTCAGAGGACCTAGATGTTGACTTACACTACTCCAGGGAAGGGGACGGTTCATTCACTACAATGTAAACGAGTCCTGTAATGCACCAAACTAATGTGAACATTTGAACTTCAGCTACGCCTCATCTCCGTCTTCCTCTCCACATTTGCCATCTCCCTACTTACTCCACGCTTCAGTAAAGCACTTTGTCACTTGACGCACTACAGCACGGACACCCACCCACCCACCACCACCCCTTCCCCTCTGGTCTCATCTTCTGTATCGGCCTGCTCGTGCAATGCAAGCGAATGTGTTGATCGAGGCTTCAGAGCGATTGTCCCTGGTGTGTATGTACATGGATGTTTTACTTTGTCATGAAATTCAAGGGTTAATTTTTATGCCCTTTTTCTTTTTTAAATTCAAAAGGAAAGGTCTATATTGCACTGTGTTGTACTGGCCAGTGTCCTAAAGTGAATAAATTCTTAATAAAATATACTTGACTTGCGTCACAGCCTCATGTAACATGAAAAACTGCATTCTTCTGAGTATTTCTTGAATCAAGTTACTTATTTTTAGTACACAAAAAAAGCACGGGGAACTCTTGTGTAGTTGAGATTGGGTGAATGAGTGTGTGTGTGTGTTTATGCTGAGTAGGGCCGTTTGCTGAATCCTCTTGGCTCTCTCTCTGTGTGCCCACACACAACGCCTGCTGGCAGCCCGGCAGATAGGCAGGGCAGCGTGTGCCAACACAGCTGCCTATTGAGAGGCAGCGTTACGGACACAATGTGAGCGACAGACTTGCTGTATCAACAGCTCCCCCTTTTCTGCTGTTGTGGCCAGAAATAAACCATAAATACCCCCCCAACCATCCCTGCGGTCTAATGGCTCAACCCCACCAAACACCAAGTGGCAGCGAAAAAAGAGGGACACTACCGCTTCCTAGCAGGCATACCCAGGTAAAAGCCTCCTACTGGACACATACTTATCAATCACCACGGTGTAATAATGCCATTGCAAAGGAGTTCAGTGGTACTGCACTGGGGAGGACTCAGGTTTGGTGGAGTTTGTTATTAAGTATTGCACGTGATGAAGAAATTGTGTGTTCATACTCGAAAAACAAACTCTTATCGGGTAAATTATTACTGCTGAGGCTTAAAAAAAGTCCTCCTGCTCAAGGATGTATTCCACAATCGTAGCTTAGACATTAAGCTTCTCTCCTGTGTGTGTGCGTGTGCCCATGTATGAATGTGTGACGGATGGTGCTTTTTCTATGTGTGTGCTGCTGCCAAAAAGTGGAGGAGCAGTGGATCAGGAGGATGTCGGAGCAGCAAAGTGCCCCGGAGCAGCTAGCTGCTGGGAAGAGCCAGGGTGGAGCTGGAGCCACATACAAGGTACTGGAACAACTTATAGAAGAACTGCTCCCAGGGTTCCCACCTTTATACAGGTGTGTTTGCTGTCCAGCTATTGGTCACAGATGTACCTGCATCATCTGCTGAACCTGACAGTTTGAGTTATTTTTAAGCTCAGCCTATGTCATGTCGATATTCTATATGGAGGCTGTTATCTTAAGCTCCGAGGGGAAACCGAAAGGAGTCTGTGTTAGTTTATGGAAAGCCTTTTGTTTCTGTGTTTCCAGGTGGTGCTGTTTGAGTTTGAAAATTTCCAGGGCTGCAAGGCAGAGTTTTCTGCAGAGTGTAAAGATGTGACAGAGAAAGGACTGCAGAAGGTCAGCTCTGTGATCGTTGAGTCAGGACCGTAAGTAATGCCGCATGTGAGATTATTCATGTAAGAAAATTTAGAAGAGGCAAGCTTGTCACGCTGGTAAACTCGGATCTTCTCTTTTCCCCTCAGCTGGGTGGGTTATGATCGGCATGGGTTCACAGGGGAGCAGTTTATTCTGGAGAAAGGAGAGTATCCACGCTGGGACACCTGGACCAACAGTCAGAACAGCTACTCCCTCTTGTCTCTAAGGCCACTCAAAGTGGTGCGTGACTAGTTTACATACAAAGCTCATGATGCAGTCACACAGATACACGTAACCTTTGCCTGTTGTATTTTTACCTCCTGACACATTTTAAATAATTACTTTACTGAATCAGTGTAATTTGTGTAATTTTGGTGTTCAGGATGGTGCTGAACACAAGCTGCACCTGTATGAGAATCCAAGTTTTACTGGCAGAAAGATGGAGATCATTGACGATGATGTGCCCAGTTTGTGGGGCCATGGTTTTCAGGACCGTGTAGCAAGCATCAAAGCTCTCAATGGAACGTAAGATCCTCAGCGCACCCTTATCTAAACCACATCGCACTGCCTTCTGGCTGTTTTTCTGCGACACACCTCACATTCTGTCTGTTTCTCCTTCCTCCAGATGGGTTGGCTACATGTACCCAGGCTACAGGGGTCGCCAGTTTGTCTTTGAGCGAGGAGATTTCAAGCATTGGAATGACTGGGAGGCCCCCGCTCCCCAGATCCAGTCTGTCCGACGTGTGCGAGACATGCAGTGGCACAAGAGGGGCTGTTTCATCGTTCCCGACCCAGCTCCGGCTCCTGATCCCGACCCTGCCCCGGCACCTCCTGCCCCTCCTGCTACAGCTGGAGCCAGCTGAGCAGGACCCTCGCCTGCCTCCCGCAGCCTTCCCCACGCTGCCGACAGTGCCCGCCCTCTGCCTTAACCTAACCACGGCAAACGCTGCTTGTGCCCAGTGAGGAGTGCCATGTATGTATCAGTGGCGAATAAAAGTTGTTTGACCTGGAGTTTATTGGTGATGTTGTACTTCAAGTCAAGGTGGAGATGGCTTTAACTAAAGGTTTGGAAAAAAAAATAAAAACACTATCAGAGATGTCACACTGACATCTATGTGGAGATAATGTAGCCTACATCTGGCAGATATTTTTCCTCGAGATAAGCTGCAGATGTGTGCCGCTTTCATTGCATGTGTTTTCCTATTCTAGTCAGACAGCTGAAAACCTCATCGAGCATTAGGAACACATGACTTATTCAATGCATATGTGGATACGCGTTTGCCTAACAGAAATGGAAATGATGTCATGCTGTATGTATGCTTGCTATTAAAACAGAGTGCGCTGCATTCCCTTCCCTTAGTCTTCATTGTGCATTTGGTGGTTAATGGTCACAAAGTGAACACTGAGAGCATGCAATTACTCCAGTGTACATATTTAACACTATTATACCAGTGTTAAGTTCAGGTTTAGCATAATAAGAGGAAAAAAATCAGTCCAAATGTAAAAGCACACATGCATGCGGTTTTTAAAACAAAACACACTTTTCCATCACAACACTGAGTGGAGCATTTTCTCTATTTTTCTGCAAAGTGCAAAGTTTTAATCGTGTAAAAGAGGGAAAGCAGAGATAAGAGACACAGACCTGCAGCTTATGCATAATACTTGCAGAAAACATAAAGCGGATCATCAATAACTCAATCATACGCGATCATGAGAAGATTCTGGCAATTTCTGCCTCAGCATCGTTTCCCTGGACTAGAATTTTCCCTTAAACATGAGGCTTTCAAACACA